AATAGGCAAATTATCCGAATTATGTGAAGTAGCTCATTTCGGAGAATTCGGATAATTTGGATAATTCGGAAAGTTTCCGAAATAGGCAAATTATCCGAATTATGTGAAATAGCCCATTTCGGATAATTCGGATAATTTGGATAATTCGCAAAGTTTCCGAAATAGGCAAATTATCCGAAATATGTGAAAAAGCTCATTTCGGATAATTCGGATAGTTTGGATAATTCGGAAAGTTTCCGAAATAGGCAAATTATCCGAATTGTGTGAAATAATTCATTTCGGATAATTCGGATAATTTGGATAATTCGGAAAGTTTCCGAAATAGGCAAATTATCCGAATTATGTGAAATAGCTCATTTCGGAGAATTCGGATAATTTGGATAATTCGGAAAGTTTCCGAAATAGGCAAATTATCCGAATTATGTGAAATAGCTCATTTCGGATAATTCGGATAGTTTGGATAATTCGGAAAGTTTCCGAAATAGGCAAATTATCCGAATTGTGTGAGATAAGTCATTTCGGATAATTTGGATAGTTCGGAAAGTTTCCGAAATAGGCAAATTTTCCGAAATATGTGACATAGCTCATTTCGGATAATTCTGATAATTTGGATAATTCGGAAAGTTTCCGAAATAGGCAAATTTTCCGAATTATGTGAAAGAGCTTATTTCGGATATTTCGGATAGTTCGCAAAGTTTCCGAAATAGGCAAATTATCCGAATTATGTGAAATAGCTCATTTCGGATAATTCTGATAATTTGGATAATTCGGAAAGTTTCCGAAATAAGCAATTTATCCGAATTTTGTGAAATAGCTCATTTCGGATAATTCGGATAATTTGGGTAATTCGGAAAGTTTCCGAAATAGGCAAATTTTCCGAATTATGTGAAAGAGCTTATTTCGGATATTTCGGATAATTCGCAAAGTTTCCGAAATAGGCAAATTATCCGAATTATGTGAAATAGCTCATTTCGGATAATTCTGATAATTTGGATAATTCGGAAAGTTTCCGAAATAAGCAATTTATCCGAATTTTGTGAAATAGCTCATTTCGGATAATTCGGATAATTTGGATAATTCGGAAAGTTTCCGAAATAGGCAAATTGTCCGAATTATGTGAAATAGCTCATTTCGGACAATTTGGATAATTTGGATAATTCGGAAAGTTTCCGAAATAGGCAAATTATCCGAATTATGTGAAATAGCTCATTTCGCGGATAATTCGGATAATTTGGATAATTCGGAAAGTTTCCGAAATAGGCAAATTATCAGAATTATGTGAAATAGCTCATTTCGGATAATTCGGATAATTTGGATAATTCGCAAAGTTTCCGAAATAGGCAAATTATCCGAATTATGTGAATGCTTATTGTGTGAAACAGCTCATTTCGGAGAATTCGGATAATTTGGATATTTCGGAAAGTTTCCGAGATAGGCAAATTATCCGAATTATGTGAAATAGCTCATTTCGGAGAATTCGGATAATTTGGATAATTCGGAAAGTTTCCGAAATAGGCAAATTTTCCGAATTATGTGAAATAGCTCATTTCGGATAATTTGGATAATTCGGAAAGTTTCCGAAATAGGCAAATTATCCGAATTATGTGAAACAGCTCATTTCGGAGATTTCGGGTAATTTGGATAATTCGGAAAGTTTCCGAAATAGGCCAATTTATCCGAATTTTGTGAAATAGCTCATTTCGGATAATTCGGATAATTTGGATAATTCGGAAAGTTTCCGAAATAGGCAAAATATCGAATTATGTGAATTAGCTCATTTCGGATAATTTGGATAATTCGGAAAGTTTCCGAAATAGGCAAAATATCCGAATTATGTGAAATAGCTCATTTCGGATAATCCGGATAGTTTGGATAATTCGGAAAGTTTCCGAAATAGGCAAATTATCCGAATTATGTGAAATAGCTCATTTCGGAGAATTCGGATAATTTGGATAATTCGGAAAGTTTCCGAAATAGGCAAATTATCCGAATTATGTGAAATAGCTCATTTCGGATAATTCGGATAATTTGGATAATTCGGAAAGTCGGCAAATTATCCGAATTATGTGAAATAGCTCATTTCGGAGACTTCGGATAATTTGGATATTTCGGAAAGTTTCCGAAATAGGCAAATTATCAGAATTATGTGAAATAGCTCATTTCGGAGAACTCGGATAATTTGGATAATGCGGAAAGTTTCCGAAATAGGCAAATTATCCGAATTATGTGAAATAGCTCATTTCGGATAATTCGGAAAGTTTCCGAAATAGGCAAATTATCAGAATTATGTGAAATAGCTCATTTCGGATAATTCGGATAATTTGGATATTTGGGAAAGTCGGCAAATTATCCGAATTATGTGAAATAGCCCATTTCGGAGAATTCGGATAATTTGGATAATTCGGAAAATTATCCGAATTATGTGAAATAGCTCATTTCGGATAATTCGGATAATTTGGATAATTCGGAAAGTTTCCGAAATAGGCAAATTATCGAATTATGTGAAATAGCTCATTTCGGATAATTCGCAGTATTCGGATAATTCGGAAAGTTTCCGAAATAGGCAAATTATCCGAATTATGTGAAATAGCTCATTTCGGATAATTCGGATAATTTGGATAATTCGGAAAGTTTCCGAAATAGGCAAATTATCCGAATTATGTGAAATAGCTCATTTCGGAGAATTCGGATAATTTGGATAATTCGGAAAGTTTCCGAAATAGGCAAATTATCCGAATTATGTGAAATAGCTCATTTCGGATAATTCGGATAATTTGGATAATTCGGAAAGATTCCGAAACAGGCAAATTATCCGAATTATGTGAAATAGCTCATTTCGGAGAATTCGGATAATTTGGATAATTCGGAAAGTTTCCGAAATAGGCAAATTATCCGAATTATTGAAATAGCTCATTTCGGATAATTCGGATAATTTGGATAATTCGCAAAGTTTCCGAAATAGGCAAATTATCCGAATTATGTGAAACAGCTCATTTCGGATAATTCGGATAATTTGGATAATTCGGAAAGTTTCCGAAATAGGCAAATTATCCGAATTATGTGAAATAGCTCATTTCGGATAATTCGGATAATTTGGATAATTCGCAAAGTTTCCGAAATAGGCAAATTATCCGAATTATGTGAAATAGCTCATTCCGGTTCATTCGGATAATTTGGATAATTCGGAAAGTTTCCGAAATAGGCAAATTATCCGAATTACTTGAAATAGCTCATTTCGGATAATTCGCAGTATTCGGATAATTCGGAAAGTTTCCGAAATAGGCAAATTATCCGAATTATGTGAAACAGCTCATTTCGGATAATGATAATTCGGAAAGTTTCCGAAATAGGCAAATTATCCGAATTATGTGAAATAGCTCATTTCGGATAATTCGGATAATTTGGATAATTCGGAAAGTTTCCGAAATAGGCAAATTATCCGAATTATGTGAAACAGCTGATTTCGGATAATTCAATCATGAGCATTGCTTATTGGGGAACCCACTGGGTCACATTATACAGGAAGGATCTTCAATCATATATATATATATATATGGTACCCCCCCCCATTGACCTACCCTTTTTGGTCTTTTTGAATATATATATATGTATATGTATACACATATAGTATACATACAGATGGGTAACTATCTTTAGATAGACAGGTCGATAGATAGAAGTTTGTCTTATAGATCTTCGCATGCCCCAGGACATGCGGGATCAGAGCAAGACCTTCACCATCGTTGGGACTGCGCCTCGGCCAAGTCCTGGGCCCTCGTGCCGAATTTGGGAACCCAGAGACTCCAATATCCCTTAATCAAGGAATATACCTTGAAATCGAGTAGGATCCCGACTATGATGTAAGGTATCTTCCCAAATGAAGGGATATTGGAGTCTCTGGGATCAGCTAGAAAAGTATCACTTGGTTTCAGCTTCACTCATCTGGGCAGCTTACAGTGACGTCTCTCAGCAGGTCTCGCATCCTGACTCCGCCAACCATGCTTTCCTCTCGACCAGCCCGGTTATCCATGACGTCATGATTCAGTAGAAATGGGAGTTTCCGAAAACTAGGGGTACCTTATTTGGGGCTCCTTATAATAAGGATCCGACTATTTAGGGTACTACATTAGGGTCCCCTAATTTTCGGAAGCTCCCAAATGAGTCCTCAAAACAGGTCTGGGCATCCAACCCCGAAGCCTTAAACCCTAGACTCGAGATCCAAAACCCTGAACACACAACGCTAAATCCCAAACCCGAAGCCACACCCGCAAACCCCAAATCCAATTTTGAAAAAACCCAAAACCCCAAACCCTGAACCCAAACTGCAAGGTGGAAAAGGTGCTTTAAAACAACGCCCCCAAACCCCAAACCCCCCAAAACCCAAGCCCTAAACCCAAGAAGTCTATACCCAGGTGTACTACATGGCACCAGACATCTTCGTGGGCCGAGGTTTCTCAGAGCAAACATGAGGCTAGAGAGGCTTTGCAAAAGAAGTGGGCGGGCTGAGAGAATTAAACAGGGTTGGGTTGTTTTTTGTGTGGGCAGTTGATTGTTGTTTTTTTCACCGGTGGTTTAGGGGTTTCTAGTTCCAGTCTACTTGTTTTCTTGAGCCATTTTGCTTGCTTAAGGTCTAAAGCGGGTTGCGGAGAGTTTGGGCGCCGGGGGCTTCTGTTTTCGAAAAGGTCTGCAACAATTGAAGTCTCTCGGCCCCTAAACCCCGAGCGACCCACCTTAGGCCATAGCTCCGAAAGGCGAAAGGCTATCTCCCACCGATATGGGAGTTTCCGAAAATGAGGGGTACCTTAGATGGGGTCCTTATAATAAGGATCCTAGTCTTTAGGATACTATATTGGGCTATTTTCGGAAACTCCGATATGTCATGGCTACTCAGACTGGCTCAGGACTTGTAACATACTTAGCAACGGCGGATTCGCAAAGCAAGAGTCGTTGACGTCTTCGAAGGTTATGGCTTGGAGGTGGACTTCTGGTCCCTTGGTATCATGCTCTACGAACTGGTGTGCGGAAGGTTACCCTTCGGCAACGAGCCGCTTGGTTTGACAGGGGACAGAGAGAATCTGCGGAGGCTGGTGTCAGTTGTGGATAATGTTTTGTGAGCTGATTCCCACCACGCCAGGAGTAACGGGGTAGTAGTAGGGTGGTAGTCATAGTCATCGTCGTCGTCGTCGTAGTCGTCGTGCGCGTAGTAGAAGTAGTAGTCGTCGTCGTCACAGTCGTCGTCACGGTCGGAGTCGTAGTCGCAGTTGCAGTAGTAGTCGCAGTGGTAGTTATGGTGGTGGACGAAGTGTGGAGTGGTCGGGGTAGTGTTCGTGGTTTCGGTACTGGCAGTGGTAGTGGTGGTCGCACTCGCGGTCTTGGACGTAGCCGCAGTCTTAGTGGTAGCAGTAGGAGTAGTTGCAGAGGCAGCAGCAGTAGCAGAAGTACTAGTAGTGGCAGCACCAGCAGTTGTAGTGGTTCACCAGTGGTGGTGGCGGCGGTGGTGGTGGTGGCGACGGAGGGTGCCGCAGCAGCAGCAGCAGCAGTTGCAAGAAGTAGTAGTGCGAAGTAGTAAGAAGTAGCAAGAAGGAGAGAGCAGGAAATGCCCAGATGGGTCAGGTCAGCGGAAGAGGATGACATCATCGCAGCGGTCTTGGAGGCCGGGCACGCCGGGGACACCCGAACAAGCACGAGACAGCTCAGAAGGGGTCTTCCGACATTGCAGTGTCCTCAAATCGAAGTAGCACACACCTGCAGCGTCAAACATGATGGTGATGCTACTGCTGACGCTGCGACTGCTGCTACTGCTGCTGCTGCTGCTGCCGCTGCTACTGCTGTCGATGCTGATGATGGTTGCCATCATGACCACGAAAATGACGATTGTGATGAGAATGGGAATGATCATGATTTCTGCTGGGACTGACTTTAATATTCGTATGTCTTGATGACCATGGTTGTTGGATGCTCCTGCAGCGGAAACTGAGGGCGTGTTGCCGGCGATGCGGCAATGAGCATCATCAATGTCGCTGTCTTCGGAATCCATCGTCCATCATCCATCTTCATTCATCCACCGTCATCATCACCATCAGCAACATCATTCTAGTCATAACCGCTACCGATATCATGATGAGCATGCCCATCAGCATTTGGCACAGCAACACCATCGGAGTCAAAAAGTATGACCGACTATAACATTCAGTATTCCCAACCATAAACTCGGAACATAGAATCCAAGAACCCCTAAACCCCGCAACCCAAAACCCTCTCTCAAAGCCCCAAGCCCTAAGTCCCAGCCCAAAACCCCACGCCCTAACCCCAAAACCTCACTAAATGTCCTAAGCCGCAAATGTTCCCTTTTCCTCACTGGCCAGGAGACGTTGGCTTTCCCGCCAAAGTACAACGACAACGCTGGGAAGAACCTGCTTCCTGGCCTCAGGGTTTTTTCTTGGGTTCAGGCGTCAGGCTTGAGTTTCTATGTATTTTGGGGGTTTTAGGGGGTTCAGGGCTCAAGGGTTGAGCTTCTCTGCATTCCCGGTCCCATTGGGTTCAGGGGTCTTGTGGCGTTGGCTACTTTTGGAAAGGGTCTAGTATAGAGGCTCTGCGGAGGCAGTAGATCCAGAACTCCAGAGTGATAGTCAAAGGCGTGCAAAAGCCCCGCGCTCCGCACGTCCAAGCATCTCTACTGTGGGTGACCCCTGGCGACGGCGGGAATTCCATCGGATGGTTCCGAATGCGTACCGGATACTTCTACTACAGGGGACTTAATAGACCAGGGCTTTCGTTCTATAATATATCATACTATACTTATCTTTTCAAGTTTCAAGGTTATGAAGGGGAATGAGAATTGCTGAGACGAGGAGTATCTTTGCCCCACAACAACCCGAGGAGCAAGCTCCCATTTTCTCTTCAGATTGCGAAGACTCTTAAGCCCTAAATCCCATTGAACCCTGCAGGCAAAAAAACCCTCAACACTAATCCTAACTAGGCGTAAACGACCCAAAGTTGCCAAGCCTGCGAGCCCTCCGAGGATGGAGCGCCTCCTTTGCAAGGATCCGGCGGAGCGAATCGGCTCGCGCGACGGCTGGCAGGAGGTGAAGGAGCCTTCTGAAAGCATCATCCCGAACCCCAGACTCCCATAAACCCTGAGCCCTAAACCCATAACTCCCATCACCAAACCCGAAACCCTAAACCCGAAACCCTAAACCCTAAACCCCTAAAGCCCTAAACCCCTAAAGCCCTAAACCCCTAAAGCCCTAAACCCATAATTTCACGGCAGTCCCTCAGCCCCCAACCTCCAAACTCAACGAGAGACCCTCAGCCTGCAGTCGCCTGTCACACTCGACTAAACATCCCCAACACTCCAGCCTTATTATTATTACTATTATTATTACTACTACTATTATTACTTGTCTTCTTCTCATTATTCTTCTTCTTATTATTATTACTATTAATATTATTAGTATTCTTCTTCTTATTACGATTATTATTACTATTCTTCGCACTGGCACTATGTAATCTAATTTTAGACTCGGGACCGTGATCGTTAGGACAGGGCTCTGCGCCAAGCAGAGCCTGGTTACATCGTTGTGCCCAGTAGTACCCTTATTCCCTTTTTGTAGTCCTAGGTTCCTTATAAAGTTACCCAACACCAAAAAGAGAGGCCTTTTTATTCTTAGGTTACTGGGTATCCTAGGCAGGGACTCCAGAGCGACATTGTCAAAGTATCCAGACCCGTCTGGGTAGTTGTCCAAATTAAGGTCGTTTTTGGGTTCGTGCCGTATTATACTAAGGACCCAAAAAGGGAAACCCTAAACCCTAAACCGTAAATCCAAAAAAGCTTTAAACCCCAGCATAATTTTGACAATCACCTGTATATGACATGCTCAAGTACTGGTAGGAGCACAAGTTCTTCAAGATGACCGGCAGCAAAGGCGCGAAGGGTTTAGGGTTTAGGGTTTAGGGTTTAGGATGGCTGCATGCCGTGGAGCGTCTGTGGAAAAAGCAGCATCGGTAGTATGGGTAGACCAGCAAAGGCTGCCATAAATTTCGACAGCAGCTGGAGTTGGGCCTTGTAGGATTTCGGCACCTTTTGGTGGCTTCCGAAGCCCTAAACCCTGAACCCTGAATCATAAACCCTAAATCATAAACCCCGAACCCTAGACCCTGAACCCTAAATAACCCTGAACCCTAAATAACCCGGAATCGAGACCCTGCAGCCCTGCCCTGCGCAGGGGATCTGTTTACGCAGATCCTGGGCCGGGAGATGAATCCGCCGTTGATGCCCGAAGGGGAGGACCCCGGGGGGGGGGGGGAGGGGGAAGGGCAGAGCATAGAAGGAACCCTAAACCCGAAAGACTATACCCTAAACCCCAAACCCTAGATCCTAAGCCCTGAACCCTAAACCCTAAACCCCAAAACCCCAAAACCCCAAAAAACTCCTAAACCCTAAACCCCTAAACCCCAAAAAAACCCCTAAACCCTAAACCCTAAACCCCAAAAAACCCCTAAACCCTGAACCCTAAACCCCAAAAAACCCCTAAACCCTAAACCCTAAACCCCAAAAAACCCCTAAACCCTAAACCCTAAACCCCAAAAAACCCCTAAACCCTAAACCCTAAACCCCAAAAAACCCCTAAACCCTGAACCCTAAACCCCAAAAAACCCCTAAGTCCCTGAACTCCCAACCTGGCCTGGGGAGTTTGACGAGAGGAGCCCAGTCTGCGATCTTGGTTTCGCTTTCAGCAGGCTGTCAGAGCCGGATACATGGAAATGTACGGCAATTTACACCTTAATGTACTATGGTATGCTTTAGTACACCGTAATGCTTGCGAGCTGTGAAGCTGAGACGGCGCAGGAATACTCGAAGGAAGCGTACTTGCCACATGGTCGGCATTTTTGTGAGGGATGCTGAGTGACAGAAGCTCCTCGCAGCGTCTCAGGTGTAGTATATGTTCAGGTCAGTGTTTGTAGCGGCGCTAACGCTACGAGTGCCGTTAATGTCATCACCAACATTATCATTGTCACCAGTAGCACAGGCACCATCACCAGTAACTGTATCACCAATATCAATATCATCACCGCAGCAACTGCCGCTGCCCCAAGAGCACGATGGAAGGATATCGAACATCTTGCATGTAACAACAACAGCAACAACCAACAACCAACAACCAACAACCAACAACCAACACCAGCTATCACCACCACTGGAGTGACTGAACTGTGCTACCTTTCGTGAACATCCTGATGAGATTCGTTTCTGTTCCTGCCGTTCTCCATCGCTAGCAGCATTTGTTGATGTAGTGGTACCCCGACCCACGTCAATGTCAGCTAGCTACCGTAGTTAGCTAGCCAAGTAGCTAACTAGCTAACTAGCTAGCTATGTCGAAAGAGCTAAAACGAACTAACGAGCTAACGAGCAAACGAACGAACGAAAGAACTAACGAACTTACGAGCTAGCTAGCTAGCTAGCTAGCCAAGTAAGTAAGCAAGTAAGAATCAGCAAGTAAATAAACAAGTAAATAACAAGCAAACCAGGTCAATATGTCAGTACATAGATACATGTGAGCTCTAAACGGTAATGCCTAAAGCATAGAGTCCTGCAGTCGAGTCGAGGTCAGAGAAAGTCAGCATGAGCCACCGAGCTGCAAAGTGGTTCTCATGCTTTCAGATGTCAGCATACCTGCACAGTTCTTGCATCGATTTGACTTGTTGTGGAGGTGTGGTAGTGTCACCTCCATCACCGGGGGGTGGCACCGCAGGGGTTGAACGGACGCAGCGACACCGGTCTTGGTTTCAAGCTCTTAAGGTTTTAAGTGTTAACAACCTTTAGCATGGATTGAATGGTACCCTAAATAGATGATCAGCCGATAAGGCGACATCGAAGAGTTTGCGGACGAAGAGCAGCCGCTGGGATGGAGGGAGGCTCTAATGATCAAGGCGATTAGCACTCTTATATTGCAATCTGATTGCTTCGGTGGTACCTGGGCCGATAGACGAGGGAGTCGAATTGTCCTAGGCTTGATACTGGCAGAAGGTTTCGGCCGTCTTGGGTCACGTTAGTTTCTCTCCCGACAGTTGGGTTTACCAGTGCGACCATCCATAGCACATCCTAGCACAACCCCGGCCTGCCTAAAACCAGCGTAAGTGCCGAGATGGGCATCTTCGGAACCCCCCTCAGTCCTGCATGGGCTCGTGCAGTGCATGCTGTGATGGAGCTGTGGTAGCTGGGACATTGTGCTCTTAATTTTCGTGATGTTCTCTGCTTCTGCGCTTGCGACTCCTTGAGTTTTCCGGGAGCTTTCGCGTGTTGGGTTGACGGAGATTCAGAGTGCCCTGCATTTCTTTCAGCTAGACAGCTAGACCCCAAAGCTCCAAGTGTGGGGCCACAGGCCCACACCTGACAGCAGCCCAGACGACACAGCAGTCCGGCCGATTTCAGGCGTGTTTGATGCATGATGGTGATGACGTGTGTTGATGCTGCGAACATGAAAGATGAATTCAAGCTTTCGACTGGATGGTTATGAATGCTGTAAGCCTTGAATTTTCAATCTTTCAAGTGCTGAAGCCCTAAAACCACAAACCCTGTAAAGAACCCTACATGCTAAGCCGCCTAAACCCGTACAACCCTAAACCCAATGCCCGGAACCCCGAACTTTCGCCCTGAACGCTAAGTTCTGGAGTGCCGACACTGAGGCTTAAGGTCCAAGAGCACGCCAAGGCGGGCGCGGACCAGCCTGAACTTCCTGGTCACGGGCCTGGACGTTTGGGGGTTTGGGGTTCATGGGTGTTTTGCAAGAGTTTATGGGTTTTATGTGCTTTCATGGTGGCTTCGCACTCAGGGCTGGGGGGCCTGGGCTTCTATCACCGAGCCGAGAGGCTTCTGTTTCTAGGACCTTTCCGATACCCTGAACCCTCCGAGAGCTTCCGATGTCCTGAAGCCCAAACCTTTGGCAGTCTGGCGAACCCGGAAAGCACGGCCCCGGAGGTAAAGATGGAGCCCTCAAGCCCAACTTTCTGACATGCGCCCTGAACTCCAAAGACCAACCCAACTTAACTTTGCAAAACATGGCAAGAACGCGTAGCTCGCAGGCCGTCTGGAAAAAGCTGGATCCAGAGGGTCAAGGAGCCAATGCTTCGGGAAAGCGGAGGGCGTTCAGGCTTTGGCTTTAGGGTTTCGGGTTTAGGCTTCAGGGTTTAGGGTTTAGGCTTTAGGGTTTAGGCTTGAGGGTTAAGGATTTTTCAAGATTCCAAAGCGCTGCTCCTCGACCCAGCACGATTCGAAATCCCGGAGCTGAACCCGAGACCTGGGCCCTAAACCCTTAAACCCTGAACCGCAGAGAAGATCGCCGGATCCTCCGGTCCACCTCCCACGGCCCGAAAACCGGACATCCCCGGTTCAAAACCCTGACCCTAATATAGTACCGACAATAGTAGCATCCCTAGTATAAGGAACCCCAAACAAGGTACCCCCCCCCCAAGCCTGAATCCCAAAAGCAGAAGGACGGAACCTGCGACTCCAGGAGTGGTTCAGACGGAGGAGTTGGCACTTCTCCTCGCCCAGACCGACTCCGACCTCAACAGGCCCTGGGGCAGGGCTTGGGCGTATTTTTTTTTTTTTGGTTTTGTTTTTTTTTCTTTGGTTTGGGGTTTAGGGCGTTTGGAGGTTTGCACTTCAGGGCTTCAGGGATGGAATGTAATGCGTACTGTAGCGGTCTCCTCGCCTCTGCTCGCGTCCCGCGAGGAACCAGATCGACGCCCTCGTGGAGGCCGTCGACACGAAGGTGGGGAGCTTTGGGAAGACTGGACCCCTAGGTATATACCCTTAATATAGCTATTATATACCCATTATATAGCCCATTATAGGGTAGGGGTCCCCATTAAGGGTGCCTCCTTTAAGAGGTTCTTTGAGAGGTGGACTTCGACATGCCTTCTTGGTCTCAGGTTTCCGGGCTCCGAGGTCGCGGTTTCATGTTGGATTCGAAGTTTTCTGCGAAGAATGAGGGATACTTCTGCCGGTTCAGCACCGCTGACGGTGGACGCATAAACACTTGGCAGGCGGATGGAATCACCTTCAAGACCTTCTGCGCCTTCCTGGAGCAAAGCGACCTCGATGCGCACGCGGTGCTGCGCGCGCTGGAGAGCTGAACTTTCAGGCCGCCCGGCTTCCTGGTCCTAGGGTGTTGGGATATGGGAGTTTCCGAAAACGAGGGGTGCCTTATTTTGGGGTCCTGATAATGAGGATCCTACTATTTGGGGTACTATATTAGAGTCCCCTATTTTCGGAAACTCCCATGTAAGGCTTAGGCTTTGATCATGGCTTCTTGCTTGTGTTCGTGGCCGTCTGCACCGCCCATAGGTACCCTCTTCGTCCTGTTCCATCTGCTGCTTAACCGGATGATCTGACGATGGGTGCCCTTGTCATGAGGGGACTCGTGGGTCGGTAAACGGTAAACTCAAGGCATAGACCGCTGACCACTCTCTAGGTGGACGGCGCTTGAGCCCAGTGACCTCGATGGTCCGGAAGGATGGTTCGAACTCGCTGTCGCAACGCAAACGGACGACACTTGCGAACACTCGATGTTGCTGTTCGACCCTGTCGTCTCGCGGCTTTCAGCAGCCTCTGGGCCTTGTCGGGGCTTCTGGCGCCTTCATGCAGCGGGCTTCTGTGCTGCGCACCATCGCAGCAAACCTTGCGCGGCGCGGAAACCTTGAAGCGCGAACCCGAACCGTAAACCCCGAGTCCGCTCCTAGGGGGAGCGATTTCCTAGGCTCCAGCTCTCTCCAGCTCTCCACCTCTGTTGGCGATGGCCTGATCACTGTCACCATGCATCTTCCCAGTTTGAGCAGCGCTTGGCAGTGCGAAAAGAAACACTCGAGGCCCCCTAAACCCTAAACCCGAACCCCGACTAAAGGGAAACTGGCAAACGGAAAAGAGGTCTGAAGCAAAAGACTTAGAAGAGGTCTGAAACAAAAACCCCAAGCCCCTCACCTTTGTGGGCCACTGGGTCGCCGAGCTATGAGCGGCGTTAAAAGCCTTCAAAGGCATCGCAGAATCGACATCCCTTCATAATTGTTGTTATTATCATTGTGGCTATATTCACTATCGATATCATATCATTACCATCCCTACTAGTATTGCTATCATCATTTTGGTTATCATCACGAGTATTGCTACTTGTGCTTTGTTGCAGGAGCTGGGGATACTGAAGTCTCTGAAATCCCATGTCGTTTAGAAACGTTTTGCAAAAGACGTCTTGTTCTCAGTCCTGAGCGTCCTGAAGACCACCCCTCAAGAAGTCTTCAACATAGAACCCCGATAGCTCAGCACCAAACCCTAAAATTTCGCCATGCTAAGCCCTAAATCCCTCAACCGAGTCCTAAGCCCTACAAAAGCAGAGCTCTCAGCCCTAAAGGCCCTCAACCCTAAAATGTTGCAATCCCCAAAAAACTTAGGGGCACTTAGAAATGATTTTTAAGTTTTGGTTATTATAATCTCCTAAGAGACAAATAAAATTGTATTTTTTGCTAGGGTTCTAAGTTCAGTATAGAAAACCCGAAGTCCGAGGCTGAGACTCCTCCGAATCGTGGGCCGTTCGGCGCCCCACATCCCGGGCTGTGCTTCTGCCTCGGGGCCCCCCAGGCCCCCCAAATCCCCCGAAGCATCCCCTAAACCCTAAACCCTAAACCCTAAGCATCGAACAAAGAAGGTCTAGGTGTAAGTGTAAGGCTTGGGAAGTTTAGGGTTTAGGGTAGACTGGAATCGGATCGGGTCACAAAGGAGGCGGCGCAAGGGGTCCCGCGTGGAGATCCCCTCTGTGATCCTCTCTCTGTGTATAGTGTATGCCCAAGCAGCACAGACGCCGAGGGTGTGTTCAGCATTCTCAGCTCATTCAGATTGTCTGTGGCTTAAGTCACAGCCATGGTGCCCTCAGGCCTCTGGTAAAAGACGATGAGCGGTCGTTTCGGGGTCCCGAAGCCTCAACCCTTGGCAGCGTGCAGAGAGAGAGAGAGAGAGAGAGAGAGAAGCCTTAACCCTGAACCATGCCTATCACCTTAAGGTTTGTGGCTGGCGGTGAGCTTTAGGCAATGTTCCATGTAAAGATCAGATCACACTGGTGAGAAGACCATTCATATAGGGACCTAAATGATTACCAATACTATTTTGGGGGTTCCTTATTCTAAGTATAGTATACTGGGCCCCAAAACCCTATCCTAAGTCCTACGGCCCCTATAGTAAAGGGTTTAAGGTTCGATGTGGTAGGGAACCGTCCGAACCCTTGAGTCTCCACCCTGGGCTCTTTCAGAAGCTAGGGCTTCACTGGGCGGAGCTGTGGGCACCTTGGGTGGACGACTTCTCTTTCCCAGGGCTCCCAAAAGGGCAGCCAGGGCTCATAATGCCGCCCTCGATGCCGAAACCCTCGACTTCCTGCAAGTAGTATTGTCGTCTGCATATTGAGTGTCGCAATAAAGCGAGTACTGATAATTCGTGCGGGATACGATATTCTGCAGGCTCCGAAGCCCGTAGCCAGAAGATGCCACTGCTTCGGGTTCGGCGGCGAGGGAAACAAATTAACTCGGAGAGGACTCCGCCCGAAGGGCAAGCGTCTTTCGCATTGTGGTTCGCCTTGTGCCAGGCCATGCCATACAGTTCTACGTCCTAGTCCTGAATCCTATTATACCCTAAATCCACACACCCTAAACCCTAAACCCTATACCCTAAACCCTAAACCCTATACTCCAAATCCACACACCCCGCACCTCAACCTTCAACTCGAGAGCCCGACACCCGAAGCCCCGGACTCCTCCGGGGAATGGAAGACTGGTAGTAATAGTAGTTATAATGGTAGTAATATCATAGTTATATGGTAGTAGTATGATAGTCATATGGTAGTAATATGGTAGTAACAGTACTTATAATTGTACCCCATTCCTCCATTCTCTCCTAACCAAAGGTAAGATCAAGCGGAGGTTCGGTGGCGGTCGGGGTAGCGAGCATGCCTTGGATACGGTGGGGGGGGGGGGCTGAGGATTAGACAGGTCAAGGTATATGTAGTAGAGGGGCTGAGATATCTACCAATACTATTTTGGGGGTTCCTTATTATAATTATAGTAGAATGGGCCCCAAAACCTTATTCTAAGTCTTACGGCCCCTGTATTAGCGATGTAGAGCCACAAAAAGCCATAAGGAGATGGAGTGATGTCTTGTCTGCTGCCAGCTGCAATGGGGCAGGAGGGCTTGATGGCAGAAGGAGATGACCACGACAGGCATTTTCAGTTAATCCAATTTTAATCGTGGCATTGCAAGAAACGGGTGTGCTTCGGGTACCTAGTCCCCGCCCTTGCTAACGCCAACCGAACCCTATCCTCAAAACGTTGGCTTTACCCACCTCGCTTTGGCGTTGATACACGCGTGCCTTTGACCCACCACGAAGACCCCGGGCCCTTGCTAACTTCGTCGTTTTGGGCCGGGCAGGCTTTCAAGCTGAGGGTGTGGGGCTAGAAAAGGGGGCTCTCTTGGGTCTTCGCGCCGAGTCTGCTGGTGTCGTCTCCCTGGCTTTGGGCATTCGGGCAGAGCTGTCGAATGTTGCGGAGGTATCCGGAAAAGAATGATGACCCATCAGTCCAAAAAAACTATTTGTGAGGCACTTCTAAACAACCTTCGATCCTCAACTAGGTCGAAGGAGTTATCATAGCTGCTCCGTCTAGTAGAAGGGCCCCAACCGGTCCGAGGATTAAGAAGAGCTTCAAGTTTTCAACCCCATCTCGCCATGAAGTGGCTCGCTTTCTTCGCGCTCCTGGAAACGGCCCTGGCGGGAAGCGGCTGCAACGAGGTTGTGCAGGCGACTGGGTGAAACTTCCATGTGGGGTTCGGGGTCTTTACCTAGAGGATCACAGGACTTAGTAGCCAGGGCAAGAACAGGTAACTATAATGATGAATACATGTTACATATAAACCAAGGTACGTTTGACTCAATACACCTTACTTGCCTAGTCCCCTGATCCACCTAAACCCTAAACCCTAAACCCTAAACCGGCAGGTACCAGGTCTCCAGTGCACGCAGAGCCGTGTCTGGTAATCCGCTTTGCTCAGTCTCATAAAGAGGCGGTTTTTCAGGGGTTTGCATCAAGGGTACCTTATTTTGGGTTCCTTAGAATCAGGATCCTACTACTTAGGGTACTATATGGGTGGTTGTCAAAATCCTGGTCCTTTTTTGGGTCCCTATTATAATGCGGCACCTAATATTTAGGGAGCCCAAAAAGGGACCCTAATTTTGACAACCACCCATATGAAGGGTCCCCCATTTTAAGAAGCTAGGTTTTGAAAGCCCCAGGGCTTAAAGGGAACTCCAGAAAGTTGGAATATGGTTTCAGGGTAGGATACCTTATAATTTACCATAAAGGGTTTAGGATAATCATATTCCAACTTTCTGGCTTTTGCTTTAGATCAGGCTCCAGCAACTTGGGAGCCCCGGGGCCGAACCCGCGAAGCCCAAAGCCAACACGGAAAGCCTTAAACCCCAGGGTTCAGCGCCCTGAAAGCAAGATCCTGAACCCTGCACTCTACCCTAAACCCTAAACCCTGAACCCTGAACTCTGCTTTAAAACCTTACAGAAATCTCAAGCCCTGAGTTCGAACCTGAAGGACTTGGGACCCTGGATAGATTCCGCCAGCGTGGAGAAGACCGAGGACCCTGACTCTGAGTTTGCTTGGTAGATTCCGACCTCAGAAAGACTCCGGGGAAGAAGCATCTCAGCCACAAGAGCCTCTAAGTGATACTGGGGTGGGGGGCTTGTGCATAGGGGGTTTGTCTACCTTTGCGACACTGTCGCGCTTTAGAGATGGGCTCCTTTGAAGAGAGCTTAGCCGCCAGAAGCCTCAACCCTATTCCGAGCACGCCCACGAAAACCCAAAGTACCAAAACGATGAACGAGGGATCTATAGTGGTTTTATATATACTTGTACTAAAAAGGTTCTAGAAGGGTTCGAGAAGGGATCCATACGGGTTCCATGAGGGGATAGGGCGTTCTGTAATCGCATGGCTTCCCAGAGGCATCCGCAGCTCGGGTTGTTTCGCTGCCCCAAACCTCAGACCTGAACCCTTAGTTGCCAAGCTGCGGAAAAAGCAACCACAAGCTAGAGTGTTCCAGACCCGAATCCTTCAGCACCTGCTGAGACCGGAACCCTAAAACTGAAATCACCCTATCTATTATCGTGAAACCCTCAACACCCTGATCCCTGAAGTCCTGCCACAGGGCCGTAAAGCGTGCGCCACACACGAGGTCCGCGGTAGTAGTAGGGAGACGCTGAGTGGGAGGATCAGGCATTTTCAAACAGGAGTTCAAAAACAAACAACCCTAAATTCCAGGAGGGCTTTTCTATCTCTTTGGTGCTCGTCGGGGGCGACGTGGCCGCCTCGTCCACGGAGTCCGTTGAGCTCCTCATCGGGCGCCAGGCTCTTGGGCTGTTTTTTTTTTGTTCTCAGGGTTTAGGGTTCGGGGTTTAGGATTCCAGGGTTTTTTGTCAGAATTTAGGGTTCAGGGCTTAGGTTTCAGGATTTCGGGTTTCATTTGGTTCTTTATTATAAGGGTTTAGGGTTCAGGGTTTAGGATTTTATGGAGGAAGGGTTTCTGGTTTGGGGTTTCAGGAGGGTTTGACCAAGGGTTTGTGCACGTGGTTTAGCTGTGCACTTGGTTTGGCGGAAGGGGATTTTGCCAAGCGGTGAATGGTGAGGCGGATGGCCACACGAGGCATTTCGTACTGCCAAAGGCTGCTGCCCGAAAGGGAGGCATCCTCGAAATCAGCACCTTGGCTGGCTAGCCCTCACGGAATTCAGCGGTTGCCCTGTTAGTCTTTTCGAGGTTGCTGCTGCAATCGTGAAGAGTGAGCCAAAGCAGCCAAGGAACAGAGGAAGACCTGCTTGGAGGAGTTGGAGACGGGGGGAGCTTTTCCATGCAGGCCACGCTCGCTGAGGTCAACGGCAACAATCACGGCCCCGAAAGCCTCTCCTGTCGCAGCGAGGGAGGGCGTAGCACCTGCCGCCGCACAGAGAAGTCGCCAGCTGGGGGTTCGCCTTCGCCTGCGATGGCCGGCGAGGGCGGGCACATGATGAGGGGCTCTGGCGCGGGCATGCAGGGTGCAGGCATGCCGGGAGCAGGCCCCCAACACGAGGGCATGCACCAAAGAATGCATCAGGGGCCCAACATGCCCAGCCAGCTTTGGACCAAGCCGCCGCCTGGTGAGTGCCATCCCGACTCTGCACCTTGCCGACCAGGCAGTGCTTGCAAGGCGCGGTTGCGTGACGCGGTTTCGGCTTCATGGCCCAGGGTTTCTTCCGCATTGTAAGTTTACAGCTGCCCAATATCAGAACCTTTGAAATCTCAAGACACGAACTACGGAAACCTCCGGGTGTCTCGATGTTTGGATCCTGGATCCCAAGACCTTGAGGCGTCTGGCGACGGCAGCTACATCTGTGTCAAGGCCGACCGGAAAGAGAGAGCGGAAGTTTTTGAGTAACCGTAAAGCCCTCCACTAGTGACCTAGTGTATATGCAGAGTTATATGGGTGGTTGTCAATATGAGGGTCCCTTTTTGGGTCCTTATTATAGTACGGCACCTTACCTTTCATTCAGGGTACCCAAAAAGGGACCCTAGTTTTGACAACTACCCATATGGGGGTTTCCGAAAATAGGGGACCCAAATAAAGTACCCGACATAGTAGGATCCTTATTATAAGGATCCCAAAATAAGGTACCCCTAATTTTTTTATCGAGCTCAGAGTTGCGGACCGGCCGGGAACGGAGGACGGTCTGGGGCTCTATTGGGCTGCACACCCAGAGACTCCAAGATCCCTTTATGAAGGAATGTACCTTAAAGTATAGTAGCATCCCTAATAAGATTTAAGGAGGTATATTCCCGAATTAAGGGATATTGGAGTCTCTGGGTAGTCGGGGCAGGCGGAGTTTGCTTGCCGAGTGGATGTGATACAGTAGACGCTTCAAGGATGCAGCTTTTACGTTTGCCCGCTGGGATTTGAAAGCGCGATGCTGATTAAACAGACTTCGTCCGAGTTGTCCCCCCATTGGCAGCGGGATCCATTTCATATTCCATGTGAACCCGCTTTATGCTCGTTTGATCTTTTTGGTGCTTGCCGGCAAACCTACGGGTTCTCGGCATTGACTCAAGCTGCACATGAAAACCGCCCGAAGCCCTGCATTCTCCGGCTGCCTCGGGCAGCCTGAGGTGTGCACCTCACTTCCAGGCCTCAGATAGTATTTCCACTAAGAAGCATTTCTTCGCCATCCGTACAGAACTGCATGCTTCGAAGCATCTCGTCCTTTCCATTCCGTCCCAGATGCCCCGATAGCCTAAAAGCCCCGCATTCCTGGAAAGGTTGCAGAGCCCGAGACGAACCTACGTCGAAGCTTTGAGAACCCCTCCTCCGGCCACGGCTCCTGGGTCTTTTTGTTGGGGAGTTGGCAGGGTTGGGCTGGGAAGTTTTGTATCTTCCCAAAAACCCGAAAGGAACCCTTAAAGGATCCCTTAGAGGATCCCTAAAGGAACCATTGCGGGGCACAAGCAGATTTGTTGCCAGAAGGGGTCGAAAGGGCCAACCAGTTAATGCGCCCCTTCAACCAGATTCTCGGGGTTGACACGTTACGGCTACCGGGGCAGGGGCTTAAAGTTCTCATAGCCTTAGCTTTAGAATCTTATAGGATCCTTAAGGGAGGGTGGTTCAAGGGGGGAGGGTACCTTAGGGAGTACTAGGGAGAATTAGGGATCACCAGGCTATATACCCCCCTTGGACCCCCCCCCTCCCTTAAGGATACTACAAGAATCTGAAGAAGCTGTGAAGTCAGACTCTCTCTGGAACTGTGAAGCCGGCCAGCAGTCCGAAGCAGAATCACGTCGAGTTGGGGTTTAGGGTTTAGGGTTTAGGGCTAGCATGTCTTGTGAGGTTTAGGATGCTCAGCGTTCCAGTTGCTGTCGATTTCCAATTCCGTCTTCATCCCAGTCCCAGCTTATGCGCACCCTCAACATAGGCTTTTGGGGTTTGTTAAAATGCAAGTCAGGGGGTATAGATAGATATACCTACTGGTTCGTATGGCCTCTGCACCAGGGTTTCGGCTTTCTGTCGTTCTTGCAGAACCTGAAGGCTCATCGACAGAAGTTGCGAACTAACAGAGGCTTTCAGATGATGGTGGCCGCGGCACTCTTCGCGACCGGGCAGAGCTTGATATAGGGGCCTTAATAATTACCAATACTATTTTGGGTTTTCCTTGTTGTCAGTAGAGTATAGTATACACCCCAACCCCATTCTAAGTATTAAGACCCTTATACTATGTCAAAAGATGCAACATTCCAGAACTTGTTGTCCGGCCTGCGCGATACAGCATAGATTATTTGTATCTAGCAGGAAACTTAGCAGAACATCGGAGCTATTGAAAGGGGTTCGTGTGATATAAGATCATGGGAGGTTTTGGAGGATGTGCGCAGGGCTCCTCGGGTACAGTTGGGAGGTGCTTTTAGGTGTTCTCCACGGTCATTCCATGCAGCAGACTCGGCTTTAAGTCTAACTCGTCAGAAAAGCCGTAAGTTGGAGACAGAAGAAAGCTAAACCCGAAACTCCTAAACCATAAACCCTAAACCCTCAAGAAAGGTCTGCCTGTCTTGCCTCTGCGGCGCTCTGTTCCTGCATCGCTTTGGGATAAAGCCTGGAGCGCGGAATGTCGACTCCGTGCCCAAAGTCGCACGCTCAGTTGCCACGTAGGTTACATCCTAGTTCCTAGTTAGTTCCAAACCCGGAAGGTTCAGGATTGCACCGTAACGCTTTAATTCAGCCCAGACTCTGCTGTCCCTAAAACCCCCACTTTGGACACAAACTCCGAGCGACGATTGCGCCCGATCGCTGGTCTATGTGGGGAGTTGACGGGTGCAGGTTCGAACCATGGGGGGTTCGGTGACAGCAGGGGAACCTTGCAGAGGCGTCCTGAGGGATCCTGAGGGTTTTCATCTGAGGGTCCTTGGTTTCTGAAACTCCCACGCGTGCCAACGCCTGCTGCGACAAACTGCGGTGACTTCAACCGAGACTTATCCTGCCCTAGTAAGCTCCTACTGTTGATGATATAAACTCCTGCATTACGTTAAGGACCCTAAACTATGGGAATGATGGTATACTCCTTACTATGGGTAATGCAGGATGTATATCATCAACCGTATGAGGTCATGGGCAAGATGGCAGATGGCAACCTCTCCACGGTTCAGACCATGACACGGAGCCGTGCCTTCGAAAACGACTCGGACAGCGACGCTCTGCCGGTGTTGAGCCCTGAACCACAAACCCTAAACCCAAGCTCTGCATACGGGCCGCAAGGGTGCCAGGTGGCGCAGAAGTAGCGGTGGGGCTGTTCTGATTTGTCTCAGCGCCTTGTTTGGGCTCGCATAGTAGGATATCCTTGCCGTTCAGATTGCCTTTCAGTGGTTTCTGCAGGTCAGCTATCCGTCTCCCCTCAGTCCTGCAGAAATCGAAGCCCGAAATTCTGAAGCCTGAGCTCTTCAATCTGCTCAGCTGTCACTAAGGACGATGACTTGAGAGTTTGGTGAGCAGAGGTGAGGAGTTTTAGGCTTTCATCAGAATGTGCACTTTCCTCCACACCAGCATGAGCTTGGTCATCTCGGCTTCGCCGCCGGCGGCATAGTAACACAGCAAAGAGATGGAAGCGATTGAGCATCTGAGCCGATTCAGAAGCATACCAGCATGTGATGTGTTCGGCATCTTGGCGCAGCAGCAGGCATGCCCAGCTTTGAACCATTTCATTCTTAGTTCTGGTAGGTCGCCGCGCTGTTCATGACAGCAGCATGTCTCTTGCAATAACTCGCAACGTAATTGCAGGCCATCATAGACGTGAGTCGTAAAGTGCTTAGGGAGTGATGACTAGGAAGCCCAGTAGTACCCTTATTCCCTTTTTATAGTCCTAGGTTCCTTATAAAGTTACCCAATACCACTATTCTTAGGTTACTGGGTATCCTAGATGATCAAGCCGGAGATGTCTCCAAGCTCGGCAGCTGGTACAGATGAAGTGGCACGCTTCTCGCCCACTCGCTGGGTTTGCGCTGTTTTCTTTGACGGCGCTTGGTTCAAATTCACGCGGTGCCCTCTCTCCCAGAGCCAGAGCTCCGCGAGTGCCATCTGAACCCACAGTCTGGTCCGAGCCAGCAGATGATGAGGCTCAGGCCTTGTTCATCTTTCGCCCCAGCTTGGCGTAGAAACGCTGCAGGCCCGGGCTCGCTTGCATGTGCTCCGCTGAGCGGACGGTGTGTAGTTGCCCCTGAAACCCCCGAATGTCCAAGTCTGTCTAGCTTCCCGTTTGTGGCCGTGGGCTACAAGCGCCCCGCCACTGCACACCTGGATTTCAGGGCTCTGACTTCTACCTGGAGTCCCCTTTCTTGTTGGGGTGTTCCGGGAAAGAATGACAGGCCCTGCTGGGGGCACCTGAGCTCAAGATCTGCGGATGTTCTTTCGAGAGCACTTCGACCCAGCAGCTAAAGCCCTGGCTAAACCCAAGAAGGCCCAGCATGGATCCAGAGAAAGCCCATGAAAACCCCTATAAGCCCAAGCCCTAAGCCCTAAATTCCAAATTGAAGTGACCCTTGTACGACCCAAAACCCTCCTGTAAGTTCTTCGGCAGAGGGGTCTTCGGGCTTACTGTAGGGTTTTCTTGAGGGTTTTCAATCATATTTCTAGCATGGAAGCCACCCCCTGCCAGTATGAAAACAGAGTAGAGTCCATATTAGCAGATCCTTCAGCTCACGTCCCCGGCCCCTGCCGGGACTTCAGCCAGACGTGGGCGGCTGAAAAGAGCTTCTTTCGGGGGAAGGTCTTGGGTATTTTGTATGAAACTATATAGTAGTAGATGAGATGAGATAACATAGGTCGGGTTCCGGGCTCCACAGCCGAAGGCAGGAGTTAATGGAAGCTGCGATGCATCCGAATACCTCTCCTGCCAAAGCTCACCAGAGCTGCGATCTAACCCCTTGCGACTATGCGACTCATCTTCCGCTGCTGTCCACACGGCTTTTGCGAGGGCTCTTGAACCCCGCACCCGAGACCCGAAACCTGGAGCTTTCAAGGTCGAAGCCCCTCACCCGTAAAACCCCCAGGCGCAGCCGTTGGCCTACCTTCTCATGAGCCCGGACCTCCCAAGCCTATGTATTCATGTCAGAGACATCGCTACCTTGGCAGGGGATGCTGTCGGGCTGAGAGGGCTGTGGCCTGAGCGGCTTCCTGGATATGGCGAGCTCAGGGAGGGGGTCTTCGGATTTAGAGGGGTTTCCACGCCTCGGGGTCATTCCGTGAAGCTTTGGGATTCTGGTTTCGGGCGTTTAGGGGGCTTCGTGGTATTGGTTAATTCAGCAGTTGGGGCAGTGCTGAAAATCAATAATTGTGGCAGCATGGATGCAGATATAACTGCGTGCCTGGTGTAGTCTTGCTTTCTCCAGGTCATTGCGATTTATGTATGTCGTCACATGTGAGGATTATAAAGAATCCAATGGCTCCCACACCGAGAGCATCCGCATCATCATGGCAACTACAGTACCAGCGCCGCAACAAAACCAAGGGCAAGTACAACTCTGCAGTAAGGGCCTCGCCCTCAAAACCACTCAAAATCGTAAAGCTTATGCGCGAAAAGTCTAAACCCCACACTACGAAGAAGAGGAAAGAGCTCACACGATGGGCCAAAGGCGAAGCCTTGAGGCCCTAGATGCTCCTGTAATGCATGGAAGACGGGGCTGTGGGGAGCGGTCTATTAGCTTTGAGAGCTTCGGCAACATTGTAGTTATTCAACATCATTTGCATTGTCAGTGTATGTGTGGTTTATTGTCACTATGTAACTATTTCTAGTACGGACAGTATTGCGATCACTGTCGATTTTGGGTCCACCCGCACGACTGCGATTTCTGCTACGGCTATCCACTACGACGATGTTAGCTTCCTGGCACTGCAAGACTCGACCCCGAACACATTTTTAACCGCCCCCGTGAGTCACAAGGTCGAAGGGTTTTCTGAACCCTAAACCCTAAATACTAAACTCGAAAGCCTCAAACTTTAAACCCTTGGCTTGGACCGCAACCTCCGAAGTCCGAAACCCAAAGAGGTGGAGGAAGACTTCCAAAGCATGAAGTGCACTTGAGACCCTACCCAACCCCTGCACCCCACGCAGAGGGCTGCAGTGAAGCGGAAAAGGAACGGCGTGAAAGCTGCACGGCTCCATCCCAACTGAGCGATGACTGTCCGCCTCTTATGACGTCTAGAGTCTAGTGTGAAAAACCACGTCACTCGTTCTTTTTAAGTTTCTGGAACAGCTTCGCTTCAACGTTTTGCCAAGAAGCAGAGGCTGCAAGCTTTAAGCAGTCTGCGTCAACTTCGCCGCATCGCTGCCGCCTTTTGGCTCAGTTTCCGTTCCAGGCTTTTTTGGCCCCATTGCGAGGGCTTGGAGAGTCGTAAGGTTTCTGATCTTGCTTCGAGCATCTGCATCAGAGGTATCTACTCTTCTCTGCCGCACAGAGAGCCAAAAAGCTTGCCTTATCGTGCTGTCGCCAACCAGGGCGTTTCCTTTAATTTCCCTCCTTGCGCGTTGCGCTCGCTCTCGGTCTTTGGCGAGAGGGCCAAGGTGACCGGCGGCTTCTTGCACAGCAACAAGGTGGGAGCCCGATAAAGTCTAATGTAGGGTCGGAAGAGCGAAAATGGAATCCCGACAATTTGTCCCACTACGCTTATAGTCAGTGATGGTATACTATCCTTCAAAACCCGATCCTACAAGTAAGGTCCCTATATGACCCTACGTGCCCTCGTCCAGGATACCTTGAAGATGGAGTCCTGAATGTCAAAGACCAAGCTGAACCTTACATCTGGCCACTCCCAAGCTCGATCCCTCCAGCTTTCACTGTCGTAAGTAAGGATCCCTCCGCTGACACCCGGAATGCAGTCTTTAGCATGTGCGGCTGTGAATTGGGGTGTATGCGCACACTCACACACACAATATATATATATATATATATATATATGTAAGTATGTATATCTATATCTATATATATATATATATATATGTATGTATATATATATATATACACCTACATACACACAGACATGTTTGTGCAGTCCAATCACGTTTCTTGACCGGTAAACCGCTGAAGAGCTCGATAAGACCGGGAGATTCTTCAGACCCAGGGCCCTCAAAGAGCGCCGTCAAGAAACTGACTCGGCCCCTAAACCCTAAACCCCAAACTCTTCCACCTAACCTTTCGGGCAGACGGAAAAGGGGGTTTAAACAAAAAAAAACTCTTAAAAAAAAGACTCTGAGCCTTAAAGCCCTGAGCCTTCTACCTTAAACTCTGAGCCCTAAACTTTGGCCTAAACCCGAATCCCTGAGCCCTGAGCCCTACACCCCAAAGCGGCAGGGACACTGACACCAAGAAAGGCTCCGAGCTGTTCTGCTTATTTCAACCCAGCTCAGCCTCTCTCCTAAAGCTGGAGGGCTCTCTGGGGGTTTGCGTTTTGGGATTTGGGTTGTAGGGTTTTGGGTTGAAGGTTTAGGGGTGTAGGGTTTGCAGTAGGGTGCTTCAGGCTTGCAGAGTTCGGGGATTTTGGGTTATGGTTCAAGGTTCGGGGTTACCCTAAAGTCTTCGCTGAGGGCTCGACAACCGCCACCGCGGAGCCCGAAGCGGCCCGAGCTTCGCGAGCGGCAGAAAACGCGTACGCGGAGCCTAGGT